TTCCACACTCTGCTTCTGTGTGTACACATTATTTAGCCCCCACTTGTAAGTGAGAACATGCTGTAGTTTTCTTTCCGTGCCTGAGTGTTTCATTTAAGAAAATGGCCTCCAGTTCCATCCATGTTGCTGCAAAAGACATAATTTCATTCTTTTTTATGGCTGAATAGTATTCCACTGTGTGTATACACCACATTCTCTTTATCCAATCTTCCATGGATGGATACTTAGGTTGATTCTGTATCTTTGCTACTGTGAATAGTGTTGTGATAGACATATAAGTCCAGGTATCTTTTATATAAATTGATTTCTTTTCCTTGGGTTGATCTCCAGAAGGGGAATTGCTGGATCACATGGTAAAGTTCTATTTTTAGTTCTTTGAGGAATCTCCATACTGTTTTCTATAGAGGTCGCACTAATTTACATTCCCACCAACAGTGTTTAAGAGTTCCCTTTTCTCCACATCCTCTCTAACATCTGTTATTTATTGTCTTTTTAATAAAAGCTATTCTGATGGGTATAAGATGATATCTAATTGTGGTTTTAATTTGCATTGCTTTCGTGATTAGTGATGTTGTACATTTTTTCATATGTTTATTGGCCCTTTGTCTTCTTTTGAGAAATGTCGATTCATCTCCTTGGCCTACTTTTTAATGGGGTAATTGCTTTTTATTGTTGTTGTTGCATTGTTTGAGTTCCTTATAAATTCTGGATATTAGTTGTGTGCTGGATATATAGTTTGCAAATATTTTCTCCCATTCTGTATGTTGTCTGTTCACTTTATTATTTCTTTTGCTGTGCAGAAACTTTGTAGTTTATGTTCCATCTCAATAGTGGGCAGTCTGGTCCAAGAGTCTTCCCTAATCAAAAATGACCAATAATAATCATGATCAGTTATTTGATCATTGATCTTGCCTTATCTTTTATCCTGGAAGACACGGACAGGTACTTGGACCCATGGAGCAGGCTGAGGGTCCTATGACATAGTAAAGTGTGGAGATTTTGTAGATGGGTTCTGGGGTCAGACTGACATTTGTTCCAGTCCCACCTCTGCTGTTCAATACTTGCCTCTGGTAAGTTACCTCAAACATTGGTTTCCTCATCATGAATAAAAAATAATAACAAGCATATACAATAGAGCAATACATAGAATAGGGTAATTGTGAAGATTAAATACTGCACTTAAAGAGTTTAGCATAGTGCCTGGCACTAAATAATTTCTCAATAAATAATAATAAAAGAGAAGAGGCATCAAAGAAAGAGTTCTGGCTTCTAACATGTCAATGCCTGGGGGTTGCCATGGTATATCAAGTACCATCCTTCTGCTAAAGCAGGGCTTCTCTACAGCGACACTGTTGATATTTTGAGCTAGATAGTTCTTTGTTTTAGACAGCTGCCCCAGTTAGCAGTGTTGCCAGCCCTTATACGCCAGATGCTAGTAGCACTGCCCTCTTCTCTAACCAAGTTGTGACAATCAAAACTATTGCCAGACATTGCCTGGAAGGCAAAATCCCTACTGGTTGGGACCCATTCCATTAGACAAAAGCAGGTCGCCAAAACACAGACATGTTATGACATATTTGGTTGATCATTTGCTTCTAGATCAACACTATAGTTTTTTATTCACTTTTTATTTGTCCCCTCAATTGCCACATTGCTGAAAACACTCCATTATGTGGCAACCTAAGAACTTGCACTGCTTAGAAAACTAAACATATACTTAATAATAATAATAATAAATGTAAATATTGAACAAGAATTATTAAAATACTTGATGTGAATTTATCCTGCAATTATAAAATGGATGCAGTCATTTATGGAATATTACCTATTTTTAAGCATTCTTATTGTTTTGTTTTTTACATTTAAATCTTTAAATGCGATTTATTTTGGTGTAAGGTGTAGATCAGCCTTGTTTTATTTTTCCCCAGGCTAAACTTTGTCTCAACACCATTTATTGAATAATCTGTGTTTTTCTTGCTGAATTGAAATGGCATTGTATCCAATAAAAAAAATCCCATTTCCCTGGTCTGTTTCTGGACTTTCATTCCATTCCACTGGTGTCTATTTATAAGGTCATTTCAGTTGGAGATCCCTGATGTGGAGATTTATTGAGCACTTACTATTCTGTGTGCATGGTTTTATTTTATTTTACATTTTTGAAAATTTTTAATTAGATGTAATTCTCATAACATAGAATTCACCATTTTAAAGTACACACTTTGGCAGTTTTTAGTATATTTGCAGTGTTGTATAACCATGATTACTATCTAATTCCTAGACATTTCTATCACCACAAAAGGAAATTCTGTACCTGTCATCAGTCACTCTCAACTCTCCTCTAACCCTCCCCACCCACTAGTACCTGGCAATCACTAATCTTTCTGCCTCTATATTTGCCTATTTTGAACAGTTCATATAAATGGAATCATATGACACATAGCTTTTGTGTTTGGATTCTTTCACTTAATATAATGTTTTCAAAGTTCATCTATATTTTAGCTTGTATCAGTACTTCATTCCTTTAAATATGGGAGTAATATTCCATTGTATAACTATGCCACATTTTGTTTATCATTCATCGGCTGGTAGATATTTGGGTTGTTTGCACCTTTTGGTTATTACGAATAATGCTGTTATGAACATATGTGTGCAATTTTTTGTTTGAACACACATTTTCACTTCTCTTGGTTATATACCCAGGAGTGGAATTGTTGGACTAGATGGTAACTCAACATTTTTGGGATCCAGCTTTTTTCCACAGCACTGAACATTTCAAATTCTGACCAGGACTGTATGAGGGTTTCAATATGTCCACATCCTCACCAACACTTATTATTTTCTGGGTTTGTTTGTTGGTTTATTTGTTGTCATTTAAATTATAGTCACCCTAGTAGGCATGAAGTGGTAACTCACTGTGGTTTTTATTTGCATTTCCCTAATGCCTAAAATGTTTAGCATGTTTTTATATGCTTATTGGACATCTGTGTATCTTATCTGGAGTAATATCTATTCAATTTGCCAATTTTAGAATTGGCTTATTTATCTTTTTATGTTGACACAAACACATTTTTATTTTATATATTTTGGACACTAGACCCTTGTCATATGTTTGATTTACAAATATTTTCTTTTTTTCTCTGGGTTGTCTTTTCACTTTCTTGATAGTGTCTTTTGATACACGAAAGTTTTTAATTTTGATGAAATTCAGTTTATCAGTTTTTCTTTCTTTGTGTTTTTGGTGTAATATCTAAGAAATCATTGCCTAATCCAAGATTACTAATATCTACACCTATATTCTCTTTCAATAGTTTTGTAACTTTAGCTCTTACATGTAGGTTTTGGATCCATTTGGAATTAACTTTTGTATATGCTGTGAGGTAGGGGTCCAGTTTCATTCTTTTGCATATGGATATGTTAGAATGTACTGTAGCCTTGTACTTTTGTGTTGTGAAAAGGCCTATGAAAGTCTTATAAATTATGTAATTTCCAAATCAGGAACCTAATTACTTAAGACCAGTTTCAAGGATGGTAGCTGGAGCCATGATTTGGACACCAACTCTTATGGAACAGATTTTCATTCTAACAAACCCCCAGGGGCTCTTAAATTGTCCTGATGGCTTTTCTGTATATAATTTTGAGGCTTTAGATTATGTGCCAGTGAAGGGGCCATTGACTAGGACAGAAACATCTTTTAGGCAGATGGAGATTTTGGCTGAAATGGCATTTGGGTAATGGAATTTGGCTTGCAGGGATCTTGCAACATTGAGTCCTGGGACTGAAGATGGATAATGTGATGACAGCATCAGTTCATGGCCTGGTTTCAGGGAGGACAGCAGGCTTTCCTGTGGGGAGAGTCTCTCTTCTTTCCTGCATTCCATAGGCACTTAAAATATGAGGACATACTGGACCCAGAAAAACACTAAATATTCCACCCTTTCCACAAAGGGGATGCAGAGATTCAAATGAGTGGCATCAAGAGTTTTTATTCTCATTCAACAATAGATAAGCTCTTTTTTTAATCCTCAATGAAGTCAGACTTCTGAGAGCTTTGGTGGGAGTGCCCCCCCTCCCCCCTTTTTTTTAGAACCATCTCTCCACTCTTAAGATTTAATTAATATTGTTTCCAAAGACTTAATCAGCATCAATACTCATGACAAGCCCCCTCCATCTCTCCTGACAAAAAAATTGTCACTGAAGAGCAGTGAAAATGTGAGGCCCCCTTGACCCTGGGTTTCAGACCAAAAGATCCCACATAGACAGATCCTTTGAATAAGTTAAGCGATTATTTGTTCCTCTGAGTTGCTGTGTTGCTTATGAAACAAGTGTGAATTGTCCTGGCCCATGTTGGGAGTCTAGAATGCAATGTGTGGCATGCCTCAGGGTGATAGGAGTTAGGTTTCCATGAAACGAATGCTGCCCATCTGTGACCAAATGCCAGTCCTAAGGATGTAACCTTCTGAGAGAAGGGACCACTTGTTTCCTTGGCGTGAATAAAGCCCATGCTGTGTTTATGTGGCATCATGTGCCAGTTTGTAGCCGCACTGAGAGGACTTCAGCATACCCCAGTAGCACAGTCCCCAAGGCACCAACTGCCCACATTCTGTGACCATTCTATGAACACAATGGCTTTAAACACTGGCAGAAAGGCAGCACCAGCATGAGAAGCCAGGGACTTTATTTATTTATTTTTTTTCTCCCCATAAACTAAAGGAAGCCGCTGTTACTCTGAGAACTTGTCCTTTTGGCTTCTGGGACTTTTTTCCACCCTATTTCTCCTGCTTGCTTGTTTGTTCATGGCAAATAGTTTAAGGACAATCATCATCTGAGTGGAATTTATTCTGATTACAGTTTTGCATTTCTGGTCCAAAACACAGAATTACAGCTTCAATAAGCTCCCGCTGTGGAATAAGTATTCATTATCTCTACTGAGGGCGCCGTGAGACACCGTGTCCTGGCACACAAACAGGACTGCAGGAGGTGGCCCCTGCCGTGGGAGGCTCACAGCAGCTCTGTCCTTCTCCAACTGAGCACAGACAAAATAACAATTTGGGCTAAGAGGTACATTTTTATTCCCAGGTAAAAAAACAGGTGAGTAACAGTATCAGGTGAGGTTACTAAGGAAACAAACATGCTCTGAACATGTAGCGCATTATTTTAGAAATGGGAATCTTATTTTATCTAATGGCCAGTACTGCAGCTGAGAGGGGAGTATTCATCATACCGACCAGTATTTCTTTCTCCTGGGAATACTTGCAGCACCAGTCTCATTTCCAGGCTGTCTAAAAAACAAAGCCCGACATCTATTCTTTGTTGATCGTAGTCGATCTTTAATCCTGACTACCATCAGTTTTTATCACATGAAACAGAGGTAGTTAGATATCTTCATTTAAGTTTTTTTTATGCTTTAGAATTTCATATCTTGTGCTATGATTCACTGCTCTAAAGCCCCACAGGGCTAGATTTAATGTTTATGACTTGTCTACCTTATCACATACAGCTTGAAATGCTTTCCTATGTGTTGTTCCATTTTCCTCCATTTAACTCCAACGAATTATTAAATTTAATGGAAGCAAATGAATAGCACCCAAAAGTGGGAATATTTGAGATAACTGGCAAAGAGTAATGTCTACGACTACGTGTCAGTAATAATGACGTTTCCGTAGTAGAAGCTTTAAGTATTCGTGAATTGTTCTTCAATTTGGGGAGGGGTGGTGATGATAGTGATGCTTTTGCTAACATTTATTGAGTGCTGACCAGGAGCCAAACACATGCTAATAATAGGCTGTCTGGTTCTTATCTCATTTAACCATTGCGATTCAATCATAGGGACTGGAACTCTTATTAGTCACATATTGCACATCAGGAAACTGAGGCTGGAAAGCCTTGGGAACCTGTCCCAAATTGCCCAAGAAGTAAAGGACTGAAGTAGGTGGTCTAGCATCAGAGCCTGTCCTCTTAATCTAATTCCTCATATGTTTATCCGATTCTACACTTTATCAAATGCTCTCAGGTCTTTTAACTTATTATGTACTTTGCAAAGGATGATGTTTGGCATTTTGTAAGCAAATGTTGGTGACCAGAAACCACATGAGTATTTACCATCCAAACAATTGCAGAATAAGAATCATTGCAATAAGTTATCAACCGCCCTCCTCTAGCTGGGATTCGTCTGCGAGTGACTGTGGGCAATGACAGAACTCATGACAGCACCCCTGCCGCAGCACACAGGTAAGGTCCATAGTCCACGCCAGTAGGCAGAAGCTGCCTTTGCCCAGATGGTGGGAATCAAAGGCTGGACTGGGCGGGAGAACGTGAAAGCAACATCAGCTCATGCCCAGCATTCTGTGGAATTTAAGGTAATGCAATGGCAGTGCATGTGAGCGAGCGAGTGGTGAGAACGAGCCAGCCTAAGCTCTGGCTCCACACTCAGAAGTGTGTGCCGGTGTCTGGAGAGGACCCGGGTAGCAGTCTCGTGGCTCTCATCATGCAGAGCCATGAACGTGGGTGGGCAGGATGCCTCTCCTGGGGGCAGGAGTGGGGATCTGCCGACACCTCCTGCAGGGCTCCCATGTAAGTGTTAGGTGTTTATATTTTCCACTCCACATCTTCTGGTGTTCTCATTGCAACCAAACTGTGGGGGCTGGGGATGAACATTGTTGTCATGAATAGGTTAGGAGGGCAAGTTAGAAATGTGAGGACCAAGAGATGTTGTAACATCTCCTTCATGCTCTGTGCTCATCTGCGCTAACTTGGCCATCATGGTACCAACAGGGCATCAGAGAGCTTTGCCACGCTTTGAGGGCCCTCGGAGCGGCCACTTCACCTGCTAGAACTGGCATGGAGGGAAGTCGTGGTTGAAGACCCATCCAGTAGTCATACTCCTCCCTCACCATGAAAATTCTACACTGAGAGCAAAGCAATGACAAGAGATTATTATACAGTGCAGGTAAATGAGCAGGCAGTGCCCAAAGGTGGGTCTTCAGGTAAAAGGGAGGATATGGAAAATGAAGACAGGCTTCATCAGAGACCAATAAACAGAATACATGTGAACTCGGATATCGGGCTTGGGACATACAGGTGGCACCGAGACCAAAGAGCACCTAATGATGGCCGTCACAATGGTGCCCAGAACATCAGGTTCCCTCATCCTAAGTTGCATGTCTCGTTTTTAATGTCACATTCCAACACAGGGATTAGCTGGTCTTGGTGCTAATGTGTCAGCTGTGGGGACCTGGAACTTGGCAGGAGCAAATAGGTTATCAGTGAACCCATAACGATCCTGAACTTCTGCCCCAGGGAGTCCCAAGATGTAGGAGAACCAGTCCTACCACCTAAACCCCCACTCTTGAGGAAGGGGAAGGATTCTGCCATTGGCCCTGTGGGGGATGCAGGGTTTATGGTGAGGGGTTCCCCCTTTTCCATCCTTCCTCTAAAGCCAAGAATGGGAGAGGGTTTCTGAGAAAATCTTTAGTGAAGATGGTGGGGTGTGGGGATGCCCACGGGAAGGGAGCATTCGCATCCCATTCCCTCACTGGATTTCTGCCCAGGCACTGCGCTTGCTTGTCTGCTCCTGAGGGAGAAGAGAATTGGAAAGAGCCTGCAGGATGGGGAGAGGTGTGAGAGGGGCGGAGCTGCACTCCCATCCACCTTGTGTCGTGGTGCATACGCAGTGTTTCTTTGTGGAGGGCCACCAAGGAAGGCAACTGGGCTTGCGCCACCTGGACCCCCTAAACAGCTGTCCTTAACATGAGGGGTCGCCAGCAGAACTGGGCTGGGAGTTGCACCTCCCATGTTGGGGGGACTGAGCGATGGGGAGGGCCCTCCAAGAAGCTCACATCGGTTTCGAGACCGTGTCAGCTTTTGGAAACCAGACAGCGATGAGGGCCAGTCAACGTTGGCAAGAGATGCGTCCCCAGTCAACTGTGTGAGGTCTGGAGCAGCAGTTGGTTAAACAGAGACGCCCCTTCCCGAGGAGGTAGACTTGGAGGAGGAAGTAGAGGAAGCATTCTACAGCCCGCCCCCATTTTGATCAGCCCACACCCTAGTTCAATCTTGTGTTTGGGGTTCAGGATTTGAAAGTTTGTGAAAGGAAAGGATAAATGACCAGAGGCGTTCCTATTCAAAGGTGGGAATAAGGTTGACCAGGGATGAGAAGCTGGAAAAGGGAACGAGTGTCACACCCAGGGTGGCACCCTATATACAGACTCCAACGTGGACTGTGGGTTGAATCAGGACACTCCTCTGGTTCGCTGGGGACTTTCCCGATTTTAAAGCTTAAAGTCCATTGCCCTGGGAACCTCCTCAGTCTTGAACACTTCTGGGAAACCGATTATTCGTTCTTCTCGCAATCCCAGAGTGACCTCCGTCAGCGATAGCTTTACCACTCCAAGTCTGACATCTCAACGGCTCAAAATGGGCCAGAGACATCAGCTTATATAACATTAACTCGTGGGCCTGTGGACTCTAGGCTGCTTAGGAGATAAGAGGAAGTGCCTTTTGGCTATTTTTCTAAAGTCTAAAAATACAATAACAGCTGCAGGGAATCAGCATTTAATACCAGATATCACATTCGTGTCAAATGTCCAGGCCAGAAATGGTGTCCAAAACATTAAATTCTCAACAAAAAGATTTTGGTGATCAAATACAAAGCCAGTGGACTCACCTGCAATTACTGGGCAGTTTGTTGAGCTAGTCCTCATGGAACAGGGAAGGCATCTCATTTGTTATTCTTGAATTCTTAAATCATATTTTTGAGAATCAAATGAGATGTTGCACAACACCAGATGTTCTACAAAGCAGTAAGAAAACCAACAGCTTCTGACATTTTTTTTCCCCCAATTCTTTCTCCCTTAGCTCAAAACAAATATGTTAGTATCACTTCCAGCTTATTGAGTCTATGAGGCAGTGGGAGAAACAGAACAAAATCATGAGAAAAACATGGCACCAACAATTGCCATCTGATGAGGGGCACAGGAAGGGAGAGAACAAATAATGAAGGCTAACCATGCAGGAAGTTTTATAATTTACAAAACTTGTTTCTGTTTCTCTCACACAAAGAAGTATAGGATGAAAAATGAAGTAGAAAGGGCAAGGAAAAGGTAAGCGAGAAAGAGACTTAAAACTTACATACTGCCTCATCTATCTGGAATTGAAATATATGGCCGTTGGAATAATCACAATATAAACAAGAATGTGTAAGACTCAAGCAAAAGTCCTTTTCCCATATTCCATTGTTGTTATAAACAATAGTAAGTGGCTAATTTTGTATTATTATTTCCACACACATTGTAAACAGAAGGCTTTCATTTGTTAACAGAAGTCTAAAAATATAATATAACAGAAGGCTTTGAGGATGGGATATTTCCCTCTTTGTTTTGTCATTCTGCAACTACTGGACAACTATATCCACATGACAAATCTTGAAGGAAGACCGAAATTATAGCCATACTCCTTGCCGTTGTCTGTCTTCTCATAAATCAGAGTTGACGACAAAGAGATTGATGATGTACGTGTTGGTATTTCTTCTGCACACTGATTCTCAGGCTTGGAGTACATTTTGCAGTGTGACCTCAGACTGTTCCTTCTGTTTCATCCTTCTGCTGCTTCTCTCAGATTTTACTAAATCCAGTCCCACTGAAACCAAAACCAAAACCATAATAAACCAAAGTTCCTGAGGGCTGCTATACTGTGGATGGAATCCCATTGCTATTAATAGTTAGATCGTGCTTGCTGGGAAAACTGTGTCTTGACCTCTTTCTCACCAGTCACCAAAACCATAACCATCAAGTAACATCCTGTGGTCGCCCGGACCATGACCTTGTGATGGGTCCTGCCCCAGGTCATCTCAGCCACACTCTGCTTTTCTACAACTCCTTCTGAGCCTTCTTTAGTTTGTTGCTACAGTAACTGAGGAATGCTAGAGTCCGAGATGGACTTCAAAGTTAACCTTCAAATTCCACACCAATTGGGGAAACATTTAATTCTAGGGTTGTTTCTGGAAGGAAAGCTTCCTTTTAGTAATCTTGATTTCTCCAGGGTTTCTGACAGTGACAAGTAGAGTAAAAAGAATGTGGAAATGGTATTCTTAAATTTGAGAATAAATGATTGGATTACGCATTTATTTTTCATGTAAAATTTAAGAAAAGAGAAGGCACATGAGTAACTTCCACACTGCCTTTTCCCACATCATATAAAATATTGAGTGCCTTTTTTTTCAATAAAATTAAATTTTATTCTCATTGAGTATAAAATTTATGCACATGAATTATTGATTTCTTTTTAAAAAGACAAGACATATTCATGCCCCAGAGCTTTTTTTCTTCCTTTAGATGGAAATCTCTTCTCTTGAGTATTTCTTGAGCACAATGTGTATTATTTTGGACTTTGGCTGCAGAAGAGCACAGAGCATTCCTTTTGTGAATAAGTATCAGCTCATATAACAGTTTCCTGTTCTTTGCTTCCAAGTTGCTCAGATTGGCCCGAGGGTTGGAGTCTGGGCCACCACCCGGTGAGTTATGCGATTCATAGATGACATTTTAATGTGGAACATTTGCCACTCTTTGCTCAGAAATGAAGACCCCAGTGAAGTGCTTGGAAAAGTCTTAGAAATAATTGTTCCTTAAAATATTTTTTAAAGAATTCAAGTGAAAAATGCAAAAAAAAAAAAAAAAAAAAAGCAGAAATGTGAATAATTTCATTCTAAACCAACTTGTCTTTGAGTGGATTTCTGTCATGGTCCAGGAGCCAACTGGGCCAGAACTGGGTAGTTTGTGAAGTTTCAGAGGTTTGCAAACAAGATCGCCGTCAAGCCTCGACTCAGTACACAGTGAATTATTGGAAGCCTTTAGAATTAGAAACTAACCACCAGGAAACTGATGCATGTTTCCATAAAGTGGCCAAACCACCCAAAGAGCAGAGACCACAGCTTCTGCCACTACGGTGGGACATTCCATTCAATGCAGAAGGACCACTGCCTGTGCCGTGTCCTGTATTCTTACCTAGGGCTGACATAGTCAGGCCTCCACGGGTGAGGAACTCTATGCCGCATCATTATTTTATTTGTTTCTCCATGTTATTTTTTCTTGGATGTGCAGCATAGCCGAAGAGAACACAAATTCTAAACGTTGACAGAAGAGGGAGCACTTGTAACTTTGAAATAATAATAAAAAAAAAATACAATTTTCTCTTTATATAATAGGGCTTTGTCTGTTTTTTAAAAACCAGCTCTTTCCACAGCTGCATGTAGCACCAGATGTTCTCTCTGTGAGGTTTGGGCTTAGAAAGTCCTCAGAGGCCCCAAGCTCACATTGTTTCCAGAACACCCCCCTACCCTCTCCCTGTCCTTGTTATTTACACAGAACAATCAGTGATTCTTACCACTGTGCAACTTAAAAATCTGTATAGTCCCATAAGGGTAGGGAAAAACCCAACACAAGCAAGCTAGAAACAAGATGACAGGAATGTAAAGAGCTGGTAAATCCAAAATTAGGAAAAGAAGGGAAGAAGCTGAAAAAAACAAGGCAGAGGAAGTGTTTGCGGTTTGTGAAGATAATTGGCTGAAAAGCAACAAAACAAAACAAAATAACAGACCAACCCTCCCTCTTCTCCAGAACTTTTAACTGTTTATGTATTTTGTTTTCCATTATGCAAAGCAGTAGGTGGAGTGGGTTTATTTTCCCATCAAAACAACTTGTTCTCATCTTACAGATGCAAACAGAAAGGGAACAAGGACAAAGAAGGAGGGATGCAGGTGTCAGCTCACCTGCCGTGCCTTTACTGTTAGGTTGAGCCCATGAAACTTTAATATTCAACTCTTTTGACCTGTCTAGATGGCACTTTCATATGATTTGATCTGATATAATTTCGAATGAGATGACTAGGTTGGGTTTTTTCTCAGAGCATGTAGAAAGATCACATAATGGCACCAACCGATCTTAACCAGTTTGGTTATTACGATGATTAGCATGTTTCTGGTAAAATATCAGAATAAAGGTGGTGTCTTGGCCCGTGGCCTGTTTTTATATGGCCCATGAGCTATGAGTGGTTTTTATGTTTTTTTATAGGGTTGTTAAAAAAAAGTGGAAGAATATGCAACCCAGACCCAAATGTAGCCCACAAAGCTTAAATATTTACTATCTGAACCTTTACAAAGTTTGCAACCAATAGAATCCTCAGGAACACCCAGATTGCTTCATTTTATTATTTTTTTTTTTGCTCTAAGTGTGATAATTGCAAACCTATTGAGAATTAACTATGTGTTGGGTACTGCACTAAGAATTTGTGTTCATCTATTTAACCCTAAAAAACACTGTAAGCAGGTTCTATTATTATCCCCATTTTATAGATCTGGGAAGACGTAGAGTGGAGATTTGAACCCAGGGCCCTTGCAGGCTCTTAAATACTACGTGGCATTGTCTCTCAAGAAGTTGACACAAGAGAGCTGTGAGAATTGCTCCTGGAGGAAGCAGGGTCGTGCAGCAAGTGGTTAAAAAAGTCCTGGATTTCTCAACTCTTGACAGTCACTTGTTGAGAATTTTTGGCAAGTTATTTAACTGCTCCCTGCCTTTAATATTATTATAATATCTTTATCTGTGGAATAAAGATGCTAACCTCATTGGTTTTTTTTTTTTTTTTTTTTTTAGAGTCTCACTGTGTTGCCTGGGCTAGAGTGCTGTGGTGTCAGCCTAGCTCACAGCAACCTCAAATTCCCGGACTCAAGCCATCCTTCTGCCTCAGACTCCTGAGTAGCTGGGACTACAGGCATGCGCCACCATGCCTGGCTAATTTTTTCTATATATTTTAAGTTGTCCAGTTAATTTCTTTCTATTTTTAGTAGAGATGGGTCTCGCTCTTGCTCAGGCTGGTTTTGAACTCCTGACCTTGAGCGATCCTCCTGCCTCGGCCTCGCAGAGTGCTAGGAATACAGGCGTGAGCCACCACGCCCAGCCCTCATTGGGTTTTAGTGATAATGAATGACATATCTTTGCACATACTTAGCACTCATTAATAAGCATGCAATAAATACTAACATAACAATTATTGTTAAAAGACCCAATTATCTCTCCCATCCTTGGCTGTCTGATGCCTGAAATTTCCATTTGGAGTTCTTATATTATCAATGCCAGTGGCTAGCAATCTGTTGCCTATGGGCCAAATCTGGCCCACCAATTGTTTTTCTAAATAAAGTTTTATTGGTACACAGCCATGCTTATTTGTTTAAATATTGTCTGGAGCTGCTTTCATGCCACAATTACAGGGTTGAATAGTTAGGATAGGGAGCATATGACCTGCAAAGCCTAAACTATCCCCTATCTGGACCTTCACAGAAAAGGTTTGCTGACCCCTCTGGGTCTAGGTTAAAGCATTAAAGGTTTCTTCTAAAATGCAGAATTTCCTTGGGTTGGGAAAGAAGCAGGATTTCAAAGATCGGGTGGGTGTGAAGAGGCAGACAGGTGGAGTAAACCTAAGTTGTTGAGGGAGGACAGTTAATTTGGAGGCAATCAGAGCTTGCGATTTTGCAGCAGATAGGAATGATTTCTGAGGCAGGCTCTGCCATCTGCCAGCTGGGCGATACGGGATGGAATGGTATTAATCTTGTCTTTTATTTTCTGTTTTCTGATGCTTTGACATCTGGAGCTTTGCTGATGCTGTAGGGACTGTCCCTCCCAGGGTTAGCCAATTCCTAGAGAGAGTAAACAACCTACCTGCCCACTTGCCGTTTAAATGCAAACCAACCCGTTCAGAGCCCACGACCCCAACTGTCTCCTCTACTGGGCTCGCACACTGCAGGCCGCTGTCTACCTGCCCCAATCACCCAGTGCCAAGCACCCGACTACTGGAGATGCCCCTGATGCCCCAGAGCCTGCCAAAATGATGCACAGTAGCCCATGCTAAGCCTGCTCACTAGGCCTCCTCACAGAGGCCAGATAAAGGCCCTTGCCCACTTTTCCCTGTCTCTCTGTCCTGGTGTCTGACTCTTGCTTCCCCCGGGTGGGTCCTCATGGCATAGTGTGACCCCCTTCTCTTGGGATCTGTGGGTATAAAAAACTATCTTTTCTATGGCAATTGTTTCCTGATCTGTTGGCCTCACCATCCCTAAATAACAATAAAACCTATATTTTAAAGCAAATGAGTTGATCCCGGCCCTCCAAAAGATATGTTCAAGCCCTCACCCCTGGTACCTGAGAATGCAACCTTATTCAAAAGTAGAGTCTTTGCAGACATAATTAAGATGAAGTTATATTGGATTGGGGTGGGCCCGAAATCCAGTGATTTATGTCATTACAAGAGGCAGTGAGGACACAGACACACAAAGAAGGCAGCCACGTGAAGACTGAGGCAGAGACTGGGAGATTGCTTGAGATTGATGCAATCACAAGCCAAAGGACACCCAGGACTGTCGGGAGCCACCAAGAGGGGAAGAAGCAGGAAAGTTTCCCCAGAGCCATCGAAGGGAACATGGTCGTACTGCCTTGATGACAGACATCTGCCATCCAGAACTGCCAGAAAATGCGTTTCTGTGGTTTTAAGCCTCCCAGTTTGTGATGCTTTGTTGTGGCAGCCCTGAGAACCGCACGTGTTGAGCAAGTTATTTAACCCCTTTGCAGAAAGGAGCATTATGAAATGCTTCTGCTGAAAAGATTGCCTTGAGGATTCATGTGAGATGAGACACATAGAGAACACAACCCTTCAACATTAAACAACTCTCAGTTTCTTCCTACCACCTTATTGTGAGAATTAGCATGTCAGCTTGCCTTCCTGGTTTGACTGCGCACAGAAGAAACGGATTTTAATAAGAGATTGGGGAAAGAGGAACACACACACACACACACACACACACACACACACACACACACACGAGGAAATAGTAATAGTTAAATAGTTCATACTTGTTCCATGCCTCTGATGGGTCAGGCCTTACGCTAAACAACGTGCACTTGCTAACTTACTTGATCGTCGTTAGCAAATGGTGCAAAAAATCACAGCGTTAGACTCCTTTAACACTCTTTTGTAAAGTCATTTGCTCATGTGCCTGTCTATGTCCATTATCTTAAATTCTTCTTTGAATTGGTCATAACATCGTCCTTGTTCCCTTATAAATTAATGATTAAAATAAAAATCTTGGATGCGCATTTATCCTATGTCTATAGGAAAGCCATCATTATAATCTCTTCTTAAAATTATCTTTTAACACAAGAACCTCTCACTTTTCCTCAGTTTGTATGTATGCTTTCTATTTGATGGGGGCATTCTCTTTCCCCCTAAGGCTGAGTTTGGAAGTAACATGAAAATCAATTTGTGCCCATATTCTGTTTCATGCCCTGCAGGGGTTTTACACATAAATGGAACATAGGGATGTTCCACCTAACTGTGAGTTGAAATCACAACGAAGGACAGAGACAGTCTAAGAAAGAGATTTGATGAATTAATTTCCGACCCCATTTAAAATTCATTACTATACTTATAAAAAGATTCTTTATCAAGGAAAACAACAGATCTTGTAGAAAAAGGCAACTCTGTAGTGATTACACGTGATTTTTCAGGAGAGAAGCTTACGCCTGCCTGTAGCTCCTTTTCCTGATTAAACATGTCGAGTAGTTGGAAATGCAGAACCAAGCTCCAAAAACTACCTTGCAAAGCAGCTCACGTGATTTCCTCCAGGGAAACAGATTTTAC